CAAGAAAATTTATCAAAATATCTAGGGTAGAAATAATTAGACTAGGCCTCGTTAATGTAAATATATCTGGTTTAAAAAAAAAAAGAAAATTCACTTAACTATTCATGAAACCAAAGTAAAATACCGAAGACGGTTTCAGACATTTTGCTACTTGTACGTTAGGTTTTCACAACTTCAAAACGCACGCCATGTGATTAACAGACATTAGCACTAAATTGACTTCAACCGTGGCTTGAACGACTCCTTATAATTATTATATATCAAAGCTTATTTAAGTCGGCTTGGCTTTGGGGACAAGCAATTAACTAATTAATCTGTTGAGTACTCTATACTAATTATTAAGCACTTCACACGAGAAGTTAATTATTCTTTAACGTCTTAATTACGTTGTGCCGACAAATTTTTTTTTTAACAACAATGAAACGAGATTAGGCTTGCGTGTTTTCCTAGTGGTCTATATAAAAACATTTGGACTTTGTCACTCCTATTTGGAGAAATCTGCCAGAATAATGCTAAAATTCAGCGTGTCGCACCGACAGCTCCCTCTTCATTACCTACGACAGACCATGACGCCCAAGCCTGCAAGTAAACAGATCGGAAACATGGAGGGGCGAAAAGAGAGGAATAGTACAACTATTTCTTCTTCGTATTGTGAAATATATCAGCAAAGTCCATGTAAGTCTGCCGTGGTTTTGTGGAGAAATTCTCCGACCCCGAGAAAAAAATTGAGTCCCACGAAGAGGAGGTCCGGTTTGATCCAGCCGGAAGTGATCCCCCGAAGGAGGAGCCCTCTGAAGCGGACAGAGACGATGCAGATGAAGGTGTGGAGCAGTCAGTTACACCGACTGAAAAGGAAGACAGAATCTCTGAGGAAGAAGGTCAGTATTAAAAAAAACTATTTTTTTTTCGGCTCTTTCTGTACAACACAACTATTTGGAGTATCACATTTGAAAAGGGGGGGGGGGAGGGGATTTTTAAAATCTTGAAGGATATTATTTGATATAAATGTGTACATTTAAAGTTGTTTTTCATGAGTTAACGTGCTGAACATATAAAAAAAAAATGTTAATCAGACACATTTGAAAAGGGGGGAGGGGATTTTTAAAATCTTGAACGATATTATTTGACATAAATGTGTACATTTAAAGTTGTTTTTCATGAGTTAACGTGCTGAACATGTAAAAAAAAATGTTAATCAGACATTTTTATAAATGTTTAATTAACACAGGAATATTATAAATGGACATATTCTGCATGAGTATAATAAAAAAAAATTGGAAACCTAGCATTTTTCACCCTAAATCCGTCAATGAGTAGATTTACAACAAATAAGTCGATGGCATCTTATCCAGAAGTATTGGTAGTTTTGTACTTTCACAAGTAGGCAAATTATTACATATCAAAGACTAATTACTTAATTCATTATGGGGGCATTTTTCATTATACTGCTTAATATATATATATATATATATATATATATATATATATATATATATATATATATATATATATATATATATATAAATCCTTGTAATTTTTAAGAACAACTTTTTAATTGCAGGACAATGAAATCAAAGAGAAATTTCTAGAGATCAGAAGGAAAGCGAAGCGTGTGGTTTCTGCCACTGGATTCTCTCTGACAGACAGCGAAGATGACGCCACTCCCACAAAAAGAGCGAAAATGACAACTTCGGTTAAAGACAGGTCCGTAAAAATGATGACCAAAGACATCAAAATCGAATTTTCGGCAAAGTTGCAGGCAAATAAACATGCGTGGGCTTATGAAGACCCATGTGTCTTGCCTAGAAAAGTGAAACGTGTGTCGGATGAAATAATGGATGTGAACCAAATGTACTCGTCGCACCTTTTGGACGTTCCTAAGAGACGATATAAAATGCCTCAGAAACGCCACCGGTCGGGATCCGACATTCCGTCCGGAAGCGGAAATGATGTCACATCTTTGTTTCCTATTCCGTTCCCAAGGACTTTCCTGAAACATGGGAAAAAGTGCACTAACTGCTAACTAAATACGTGTCATACATCTACACAATCATGTATTCTTATATATTTATTTGTTTATCATTGTTGAAATATACCCATGTTTTGTTAAGTCTATTTTCCTAGTTGGTTTGTTATTGTTGGGGACTTTTAAACTATTAGATCCGCTCCTTGGTAAGTTTTAATTAATTTTGCCACATGTACCAGATGTGTTATCACGTACTAAGTGGTGTTACCGATTTATCTCCCACTTCAAAGGAAGAACTCATTCGAACTTCTTTGTTCCGCGGACGGATGATACACAAAGAGTGTACAGGTGAACTGAGGAAAGGTCATTCACACGAAATGGAACTCACTAATGATGATATTAAAATAATGAGGTCCTAGAGACCCAAGGGAGATAATACCTCGTGTTTTGGTGCACTGGTATCGTTTACACGAGTCGAGGTTAAAGGAAGGAAAAACAGCCGCCTGTTACATTTGATCTTCGACGGTTCACGGATACAAGTAATTAAAGTAGTCAGTTAAATGCAACCTTTTTTCGTTCATGGAACTTCATCATTCATAGAACCTTTTTGACAGTTACATATGGGTAAGAATTAATCAAATCCAGAGCCCCTTCATAGAGGACTGCGTTCATAGACTGCGGCTTTGTCATTATCCTATAAGCAGTATAAGACTGGGCTTTATTGTGCCAAAGTCCAAAAATCGATACCCCCCCACCCCCCCGTCCACAGGCGCTCCAATCAGAATCTTCTAATTTTATGCTTTTGACATCCTGTCTTCTTCAATGAATGACAAACAAGTTAGAGCGCAGTAAACCTCCATTAATACTTAAAATCTCCGGAGAGCATCAGGTTTTCCAAGGTGCAAATGAACATGTATCTATATAACGATCAGTCTGGTTAATGTCATGTGTGATTCGCAGAGATTTTTAAGTAACAGTTAAAGTTGAATCTGTATGATATCAGACAAATGTAAAATGCACCACAACACCTTGCCAAGAAAATATGTATATATGTACCCTCTTAAGTGGCGGAACGCACGACCCTGGGTTCCTTCGGTGCCATTATAAAGGTACCTTGAAGATGCTTCTATAGCCTCCTAAAAAATCAAAAGTAATTTACATATATAGGGGTAACGTTGAATATGTATTTAACACAGTTATACGTATAGTTCTTCAGTTATTAATTCAATTGAACATATTTAAAAAATTAAAGACTTTCTGATTAATAATTAAAAAAAATGAAAAAAATTATTCCATTAATAAAAATTAATTGACATTTAATAATTCAATAATGAAAGAACCACGTACATTATTAAAAATTAATTGACATTTAATAGTTCAATAATGAATTGAAAGAACCACGTACATTATTGAAAAAAACTGACAGAGGGAATGTGGAGTGTTTAGATAAACTCCGGCTAAGAAACCCTGCTGATTGATTTAACATAAAGATACACACTTCAAAGAAAGCCCGTCATTAAAAGTGTCTTGTAACTTACGATGACACATTGATCACTGGATATAAACATTTACACCGCAGACTTATCGGAAATCCGAAGCCATTCAATATACAATTATCTTTAAAGTAAGTAAAATTCTGAAATAGCGACCGAAAAATGATAAAACGAACCCGGCCTTACGAAGGAATTAACCCCATGTTGAAGGCCGGGCGATCTTAACAGCGGTGCTAGAGATAAAATATTTTAGAACCTGGTTTTAAAAGATTTTACTTCAAATTCCGTTGAAGGAAAACATAAAAAAAAAAATACATGCTCTTATCAGTTAGTGGAGTTGGATAAAGAGATTTATGAATGAGGGAAACTTACATGATGTTTTAGGAAGGGGCGAGTGATCCTTGGTGAGTATACTTTTAAATGAATGAGGTTTAAAACACCTTAAATTGAGACTCATTAACAACTTTTATATATGTATCTTGCATATATATATATATATATATATATATATATATATATATATATATATATATATATATATATATATATATATATATATATAATATAAATATAAATTACGGTCTCTTTACACCAATTTATTAAAATATTGTAAATATTGAAGTAAGATTGATTTTTCAAGTTTTAATCAGTGATTGTTGTTATTGCGTCAAGTGCCTATATTAGACACTTCCCGTTTTGAAGTGCTGTAGATATTAAATTCTTTGTTTGTCGATTGGCACGGTTCATCAATCACTTTCCAATTGTAAACACTTTTGTGTAGATTGCTAATGATAGATTACTTCTCTTTTAAAGTCAAATTGGATACCCGGATTTAGATTGACAAAACTAATTTCAAAATGTAAACACTCTTTAATGTAGAAATAAAGAACGTCTTTAAAATTGTCGGCTTTGGTGAGAATAATGTAGGAGGCAGAAACCAGCGGGAGATTGTTAAAGGCTGAGAATTATCTTATAAACATTTGATCTCTCTTCAGAGAGCTTTAGTTAACGGCTATGGTGCACACAGGCCAGGGTTAATTTGAAATTGTAACAGAAGGTTTGTAATTTTCACTGTGTATGTATCAGCCAGTTTTGTTTCTTGGATCTTTGGTTCAGGAAGTACGGGTAAACAGTTTTCTTTACCTCGAGATAAAACAAAATAAATGTGTTTTTCTTTCCATAATTATTTATCAAAGTTTATGGAAGTTCATTATAATTTTTTTGTTGTTTATTGCGCTGTTTTTCAAAAATATTGATGTTTAATAATTTCAAATCTCACAGCGAATTACACAATTAATCATTTTTTTAAGAAACAAAGGGTGTGGATTTGCGTATTTGATTTCGTCACAAGTAAATAAAATATATACCTATTTTAACTTCCAGAGTTTTAACTTTGGAGAGAGGAGAAATCAAAGAGGGCAAAACTGACAGTTTGAGACAAAAGGTTTGTTTCTTTTGTGACGTCTGATATAGAGTTTGGATCTTCTTGGTATACAAAAGGCACTCGGCAACTGCTTTTGAAATACTGCATATTGTGTGAGGGCGAACCGCAAACCCAGAAAAAAATAGGCAAGATCGAAATATTCAACTAGACGTTTGATTTTCTCCATGGATATTTTACGAATTAATTCAGTTCTGACATATTCATAAGGAATTACTTCAACATATATGGATTAAAAGTGTCGCTCAAACTTTATGGTAGATAAACTATTTTGTATATAGATAAAAAGAACTGGTGATTATATTTTACTTAAAAATTGTGAACTCTGCTAAATAAAAGAGGCAGATCTAAATGACAGTGCACGGCGTGGACGTCGTTGTGATGAACTACAGAGGAGCGGGGTCGAATGGGGCAAGGGGTCGAGGTCAATCAATTAATGACAACAGCGTCTGTAAGATCGTTGTCCTGGGATGCCCGGGGGTTGGGAAAACAGGTGAGATTAACACTCACAGTCATCAATTTACTTAAAAATTATAGAAGTTGTACAGTCAATGCAACTTATTTTATTTCCATATGTTTAACTGAAATATTAAGTCAAAGGCGCAGAGAGAGAGAGAGAGAGAGAGAGAGAGAGATTACTATTTATATGTACATTGTATTTCAACTTTTTTCAGCCTTGACGGTGCGCTATTTGACGAAACGTTTCATTGGGGAATATAGTCCAACGTTAGGTAAGTGTATTACCACATGTATAGGTGTATCATACTATAGACCATCTCTCATTAACAAGCTTTGATATGGGGGATCTGAAGAAAGATGAAAATTGATGTTATAAAGTGGCTATCATAAAATAGAAAGGGAGAGTAGTCACTGGGGATTTTATTCTTTGTGTTTTGTTTTTGCCTTATATTTATTGATTATGAGCTAACAAGAGATCTGTAATCATTATTATCCTGTTTTAATAATCCGAGACAAGATTTAAAATAGCATTTCCAATTATCAACACAATGAAATGCGGAAGTGCTCTACTGGAATTCAAACTCTTTAGAACATCTAAAATTAAACACAACACAGCAGTTTTTAATATCATAACTTCAGATGTCGCTAATTAACTGTTTCTTTTTGGAGAATATATATATGTTATAATATTTCTGGAATGTTCCCAAACAAAGCGCTCAAAATTAATAAAAGCTCTTAAGCTCCATGTAGAAGATTTTTTTTACTGACTATAATACATTGATTTGCCAATAAGCTGACGTCACGGCCTGTATTTTACGCTATCAGCTTTATTTAACCTTGGCCTCGATTCAGTTTTGCTGCAGTGATAAAATGTAAAAATCATTGACTATTAAAAAATAACGAATATTTTATCACAATGAAAACAAACAGTTTAATACATGTATCATAGCTTCTGTTGTATGTGACAAGACTCATTATTTGAATTTACTAATTTATATGTTAAATTTCAATGGTTTGGTGAGAAAAATGAAGTCTTAACAGATATAATTTTATATGGTTTTTATTTATATACTCTGTCTTAACTTATAATGCAGCTACAGTATCAATAAACAGCAAATTATTAATTTTAATATTGTCCCTCATCCTATACGGTCAATTCTCTCTCTCTCAATATCTGTACATTCGGTTCAGAACCTCTTTCTATCTCTCAATATTGAATATAATTACCTTTTTTTAAAATAATAATTAATACTTAGTATATGAACATGATGAATTATGCCAGTTAAATATTATTCCAAAAAGCATCAGCAGTTAATTTTAATTAATTTTGACCCCGATCTTTTTTAAGGATAAAGTTGTCTGATGAAGATGTTACTGTACTGATAAAACCAACAAAATCTGATAACATTTGACATACAGCTGCTAAAACTCACGAACATGCTTCCAGCCAATACAGATCGGAATTCCTCTGTAGTTATTGTTCTAAGCAGAGACGATCCGGACGATTTCCTCTGTACTTTACAAATTTTACAAGCTAATTAAACGGTGTATTTGTTCATTAATTGTGAACACATTAACAAGATTACCTCGGATTTAAGGAAGCTGGTTTTAACCCTCGTCTGATGGAATCTTCCCTGACGCCGAGTGATTAGGAATTAATCAAACCCAGGGGGCGATAAATTTAACAAACAGACAGTTAAAGTAAAACGAATAGCCGGAAAATTAGCTACTAAAGAAGATGTTATCGTACACTCTCTGAACTCTAGATAAATTACCCGAACTTGGCCATCCAGGACTCCGTTTTACAGAAGAACTTACGACTAAAACCAAAATTTAATTTTGAGAATAACTCTTTTCTCTATATTAATTTGAAAATTCAAGTAATTTTTAAAAATAATTTTGAAAAACATTTTCATGCAAGAAATTTTCAACAGCCATATTAATTTTGCAAGTCTTTAATCCAATGAAGTTTTTGGTCATGTAAAGAATGCTTTGAGTGACTGTCAACCAGTTAGAAACAAGGGTTTAGAATATATTTTAAAACCTGCAAAACTTCCACGGATGTGACGTCACAAATGTATCTCGATTACCTCGCAGTTATATATTCAATTCAATTTATTGATTCACCAAACATGTTGGCATACAACCATGTTACAAACAAAATGAAAAATACAGTGTGTTTTCAGATTACTAAAACATATACTAAAGTACATACATACATGCAAGTGTACAAATCAGTGAAGTCAACTACTTTTACAACTTGAAGTTATACATAATCATTATGCAAAGAGTATAAACAGTATAATATGGACAGAGATAAACTAATTAATGCATTAAATATATATTATTGTGCTCTATTTTTAGAACGCAATTCAAAACATTCATGTAAAAATTCGCACAGCCTTCTAGAATGAACTGCATTGTCAGGATTACAAAGTACTTTACAATGATTTTCCTTCAACATGTTATCATTTAAATTATAGATGTTCAAAGGGTAATACTTTTTTCGCAAATCTTTATATATAGGACAGTCATATATGAAATGTATTTCATTTTCTACAACATTTGTACAATAGTGACAAAAACGAGATTCTTTTGGGATACAAGGCTTTGAATATCTGCCAATTTCAATTTCTAAAGGGTGTGCAGAAATTCTCAGTTTTGTTAATTTAGAACGTACAGATTTATTAATTGGAAATTTCAAGTAGTCTTGTAATTCATAGTTCTTTCTAATTTGACTGTAAAATAATAATTTACCACATTTGGTATATAACTTACTACCGCTCTTTCGTGTTAAAGTCAAGAAAGCTCTAAATCTCGCTTCATGTGGCAGAGGACAGTTTTTTTTCTAATGTAATACATATGCAAGGGGGGTAGGCATATACATGAGGTCAATAAGAACAGGTATGTTTGGACAGTTTTTTTTTTTTTTGGGGGGGGGGCTAATTAATTACCTTCATATATCAATAGCTCAAAATATATGGCAAACATATAGCATGTAGTGTACCTAATATGTTGACGGTGCGACCGTTGGGGCGAGCGCATTGTTCGCTTCATTCATTAAGATCCGCCTCTTCAAACGGCATGAGACATTTGGAACGTCTAGACTGTGACGTCACATGACATCGTATGTTAGCTGCATTTCCATAAAGAAAGTTTAAAAAGTGCAATGATTTTAACAAAGAACGCTTAATCTACTATCTGTTTGCAATATCCATTAAATTAAGGTGAGTTTATTTTGTGTGAATTTTTAGTTGTTGTTACCGCGCTAACGAAGTTAGCAGCGAGAACAAGAAGCGATGCATTGTGGGTCCAGAATTATTGCGGAAAAAAATTCTATTGAATGAATGTGCAGTAGTCCGAATTTTCTCTTCGCCCAGGCGTTGTCGTTAGAGCTCGCAGTGACGAGCGGCGATTCTCGCCGCTCGGTGCGCTCGCTATTAAAGTGCATGTGTACCGAACATGCACTTTGTGGCCTCCCCAGACTTTGGCTTGTTGTCCCAAGATTTGGGCCTCATCCGCACTCATACAGCACATCCCAGTCCCGAACGAGGGGGAGGGGGTGAAACTCCTAGCATAGATCAATGCATTCCCTAATGAAAATTCACTAATTGATCTGGGCCCATTCACCTTCCCTCTGAGACCTTCTTCTCAGGCCTACTGCTTTCCAGCTGAATTTCTTCGGTAACTGCCAGTATGCCATAGTTTCGGATTTACAGCTCTTTATTTGCTAAGCATCATAGTGACACCTACATGTTGCACATCATTTTCTCAACAAGCACTCTGCTACACTGCACATATATCCCATAATTATTCTATTCATTTTTCTACATAAAATATCACATCAAAAAAGGGGAAATCAGTTGTTTCAAGAAATTTGACCGTGACTTAAGTACGAAACTACCACCTTTTGCGGGACATGACATATTGTTTAAGCTAGTTACAATGGAATGAATCGATCAGTAAGTATAATGCCAAAAGTACAAAGTATTGCTATAATAGTTGCACTTCAGATAGTCGGAATGTTTAGACTTTCAAAAGTAACAATTATCAGGAAAAAATGGTTGAGAGTCAGCTTACTGGAAACTATCAATATAAATGTAACAAAAGAACTTAACGTCTCCTAAATATTATCAGCTTGGAGCACCAAACGTTTAGCAAAATATTTCACCAGGACTTCTTTCCTATCTGTCTACATTGATCGACCTCGTAGTGCCGTATTCAACAGCACATCTGCTCCAAGGTTATTAACGTTACCTACCTCCACCACGAAAGAGTTCCGCGAAGTTTAGTGTATGAAGTATCCACATTATAAGAATTGTTTGTTTAAAAATCGAGGACTCTTGATGCATAGACAATTAATAGAAGAATTAGAACGGACATCCCCGCGCTAAATGCAAGAAAAGTTATCTTTTCGTATACCATGGCGCGAAAGATACTTTACACCAATCTCATGCGGAAGAGCGAAAACGCTAGTGCCCTAGGTATCGCTCTTGCTATCTCGTAAGATGAAGAAGCGAGGGTGATGTTTACGCCACATAAGTTTTAACTTTTGGGCAAGTGATCTACATATGAGTCATTGTATCCCATGATCTCACACACAACGTGACATCATGACCTACTTACTTCAAAAACAGATGAGGATATCAGTTGGTTTATAGCTCATAAAATTATGTCAGCAAGTTTCATCAATAATAGGTCCTAACACGAAAAGCTGATCATTATAGTTTTGAGTTCAGTGACCCCCATCCTTTGACGCCTTTTATCCATTTATCTAGATTTTCAGAAGTTTATCGTTTGAAACAATCGAAATTGATAGCAGTGGAAATGACGTCATGTTGGGCAAATGGTCGTACAAAAGTTGGTGCATTTCTCTCTCTCTCTCTCTCTCTTGATATAGGTTAGTCATGCTAGTTCTCAGTTTGTGTTAAAAGACCATTGCCATCTTGTATTTAAGATCTTTTTAATTTTACATTACAACTACTTCGCTCGCCAAAAATTATCTATTCCAATATTTGTTACTTTTTTATGTGATTGGGATAATTTATTTTCTAATCGAAATGTTCGTATACAGAATCTGATGGTCAATGTCCACTGTTAAGTAAGAAATCAACAATTTGAGATGCAAATCTTTCGCTGGAGATTTGAACCCCCCCCCCAACCCCTAAAAAAAAATATCAAACATGGCTGTTCGTATTTCAAATACTAGTCGGTGAAGTGCATTATTTTGGTGAATATCAGGTGATATATTTCCAGAACTATTCTGTATATTTCCATTGTATTTAGAGTTTATTGCTTAGATAAACAGACGCTATGATATTATGATACGGGAACTGGTAAATTCAAGAGATAGAGAGAGAGCCAATAAAGTTGTATATCTAAATACGTTGTAGCACATCGAGTGCCGTGATAAATTGTTAAGGCGAATAAAATGTTTGTTAACATGCAAGGTGATGGGGAGTTAAGGAACAATAAATATGGCCCCGTAGAGATTTTATGAAAATTAATCTTTTGAGTTTAATCTTTAGGGTTGGACCACAACTATCTTAAAGATTGTACAATAATGAAAATGCATATAAAATATATAATGTCTATAGGGATTTCAATATACAAGCATTTACTGTATAAAATAATGTTTGAGATATATTTCTTTTTCGCCATTCATAATGTACCTATTATACACAGTGCATGTATTAGCAATTGGGAGAGGTTTTAGTAATAAAATTTTTAATGGTAGAATTTTGAGGGGATTCTATCATAAATCTAGGTTCACGCACTACATGTGTAAATTCATGTTTAGGAAGATTAGATTCCTCTATGTGGAATTATTAGATGTTCCAGAAGAATGAAGATAAACGTTATTAAAAATTTAGCGAGAGAGAGAGAGAGAGTCTTCGAACTTGCTTGGGGTTTGCGTTTATTTTAAATATGCTGCGAAAATATTGTAAAATTCTTTACTTCTCTAAGTAAAATCGGACCTGGGGGGCTTTTGATGTAGACAAAAGCTAATTGACTGCCTTGAGGAATGTTTTTGTAAATAAATATATTTTTCAGCAAGTTTTGCACTTCAGAAAGAGTATTCACTTTTTTGTCTGTTTTGATGAATAAGATAATGCTCCGATATCAAATCTGTCAGTCGCCTCGCAACCTTCTCCTGATCAATGTACACACACATCAACAAGATAACGATAGGCTTGGATCTGAAGAAAAAACGGAATTTTGAATGAATAACGTGTTTATTTCATAAAATCAAAGGTGTAGGGTGTTTTTCTCTCGCTCACCCAGCAGTTAATATATCACATTTATCTTACAATGTTTTTATATTTATCAGATATTCATTAAACTGAACAAGTAACGGATCAGATATTGTTTGAGTGCAAATGAATTTTTTATGGCTATTTGAATTTCGCGTTTTCCATAAAATGTCATTCATAAAATTTTCAATGAAATTTGACCACTACTTAAAATTTAATGACACCCTAGTTCAAGCATAAATATCAATATTGAAAAACAAATGAAAGCCCCCCTCCCCCCCCCCTAAAAAACCCAGACTGCATATATAAACATTACGTAGAAAACATTTTTAATGCTTCTTCATCTGCGCATTGTACGTACGCATACAAATCTTTTTCCAGACTTTAATTTCTGTGTGCACAATATTTTTCCTTTTTGTCTGAGATTTCATAACGAGAATTCAAATATCTACTCTCTCTGTCAAACTGCCTTGATAAAAAACAGCCTTGAAATCTTTGGAATAGTTTTATTCGTTTCTTTAACCAGGTAAACTCAATCACTCAGCCAGGGAATATTAATTTTTGACTGAAATAAGCAGTTTTTACATAGACAAGATTGAATGCAAAGTGACAAGCAAGAATTCTGAATTTTTATTGTGTAGACCATGCAGGAAAAATAAATCTTATAATGACAATATGATAATGTTTTAGATAAATAATGATAATGTTTTAGATAAATAAAATATAATGCATAAATTTACTTGTTAAATTTCAAATTCAAATTTCAAATTGAGTCTATAATTCATCGTTTCCCATTCATTTAACTTTATCATAAAGTGTTCAGAATGCCAAAATTATCCCAAACTGCATCAGCAGCTTATTGCATCGAAATATTTTACACAGTTTCATGTGGGCAAACAAAAAAAAGTTTTTAAGCAATCAATTTACATTTCATTCTTATAAAAAAAGAGTTCATGATTTCGTTGGGATGCAAATTCGTGGGTAAGGTGCCCTACAAAATCCACGGACATTGTTCCTCTTGTAAAGTGATGTATAGTACTACGTGCAAGTTTGAAAATACCTCATATTTAAAGAAGTTTAAATTCAAGAAAAATGTGTAGACATTTCTTTTTTGAACTGAACGATTTATATACTTTCTAGGTCGACTCACTGGCGTATGCGTTTTTTTACTGAATGTCAGTTCTGATTTTCAAAGAGATCGATCTAATTAAGGTTAGCAGGAAAACCGGAAGGCGCTCTAAAAGAGATCGAACTAATTAGAATTTAGCAATATAACCGGAAGCTCTACTATCGATCGTTTAAATACAAAGTGCATGACGTGGGAGGAAAAGTCGCCTCATAAACTTGAATTTTTGACGCTTTCTTATCATTTTTTTAGAAGGGCAATTTGGAAGCAATCGTAACATCTTTAAACCCTAAAATCTTATCTAAAGGAAACACGCTAGAATGACCCTGTGTGCTGGATTACATATTGATCTAAATTTTTAGATTAGAAAAAATTCAAAGAAATATTTTATGTACTTTACTCTGAATGGAATTTAAATTCTTCAAAACCTGCACTTTTAATAATTTCTAGAATGCTCTGACGTGCAATATATGTTTTACAGAGAGTATTTACAAGTTGCAGACGACAGTTGACGACGATGACGTCAGACTGGAGATCCTGGACACAGCAGGGCAGGTAAAATCATGTCAGCCTTCATTCAAGAGAAAATTCTGTTTGGTGTTAAAAAAAAGTCAAAATACAAAAAAAAAAAAAAAAAAAAAATTAGAGGGACACCTCAGACCTGAACAAGCCTTCGGCTCATTCCAATAAACTCAAAAATGTAATTTACACCAAATGGTTCATTTCATATATTTGCCCAAACGTTTGAATGTGCTAAATTTTATTATATAAAATTAACTTGCCAGTTAAGGAGCAGTAAGACAATGCTATCGATTCAGTACTGTATCATTCCGAAAGTATTTTTGAAAATTCCGGATGGGGATTAGGGGTGTCATATTCTTTGCCCAAGTTTGCACGTGTGACCACAAAAGTGGGGCTTCATTGAAACACCCTATATCCCAGAATAATTTTAATTCCTCATTTATAGTACATGTTGAATTCTATTTTCAGGATCAGGAATATTGGAAAGATGGCTACGCACTGTGGGCCGATTGTTTTGTCTTTGTGTATTCCATTACGGACAGAAGCAGCTTCGAGGAAATAATCAAACTAAAGCGACAAGTGGAAACTATCCGAAGATCCACGAACATTTCCGGAATCCTTGTCGGAAACAAACTAGACCTACTTCACGATCGACAGGTTCCCGCCTCGGACGGAACGGAACTTGCCGATGAGATCGGCTGTAAGTTTTACGAAGTTTCGGCCGCGGACTGGACACAAGTGTCTGATATAGACGTCATGTTTCAGGACTTGTTTCGGGAATACCGGCGAGCTAAAATGGCCCGTGAGGGGCGGCAGAGAAAAACAAGTTCATCTGTGAAGTTCAAGCAAGCCATACAAAAGGTCATATCCGGAAAAGCGCCTGTAAAGAAAACGCTGAGTGCATGATTCAGTGGAGTGGATCTAGGTTTTAATCAATAATTCATCATTCTTGTATATATATTTTTTACGATTGAAAAGCTTAAATATTATTTTACTTCAATTAAAGCCATATTAGTGACCTACCCTTTGATGAAAGAAAATCAACTTCATCAAAATCTGAAAATGCAATGACTTTCAATTTCATACTTAATACTGTACATGTAATACTAGTAAACGATATTCTAAAGGGGTTTGATCCGTCATCAATTTTTTCTTTCTAATATGTTTTTGAAATTTTGAATTCAAGAGAGTGTTGAAGCCATTAATTAAAACTTTTAGGTATATCAATCAATATTCTTGTTAGTAAAGAAAGACCAATAATTGTACACTTTTTGATCAACAACATTATGATTAAGTGTGACGTTACGCTAGAAAATAATATTTATTGTATGTAACGATTGTTTGAATGAAAATGTAGTTTCTAATGATGGTCTGTGATATATGATTTATGTATGAGGATATAAAACAATCATTATATTGTTAATCTGCCTTGTTTTATATATATATATATATATATATATATATATTGTGTAATTACAATTTTTTATCGATATGATATAAAACCTGCCAAAAAAGAAAGGGAGACAACAAAGCTATGGATCTATCTTTCTGGTCCAAATACTGACATTTCCGATCCTTCTGTTATATTATCGTATATAGTATTGTATAGTATAGTATTTTTATTTCTTCTCACAAACAAAACCTTGAAAGTAATTTGATGGAGGAAATAATTTTAACAAAAATAAATGTGGAATGAAACAAGAGGCCCATGGGCCACAGCGCTCACCTGAGCACATTGGCTGGGGAAAAGCAGAAATCAGTTTAGTATTGAAAAGATTGAGTATACATGTATATTATTAAGCGATCGCAAATACCCCCCCCCCCCAACCCAGGGGTAAGGGGGGGGGGGTATCATAATGATTTGTTCATACTTGAATCTACACTAACTGAGGATGCTTCCACATTTCACATTTCTTTGACTAATCATAGCTTAAGAAGATTTTTTTTCTATATGTTTGATCTCTATTTGTGGCCTTGCCCTACCCCCGGGGAACATGATTTGAATAAACTTGAATCTACATCATCTGAGGATGCTTCTGACTTTATATCAATGACTTGTCATAGATTTGCTGTTCTTGGGAAGATGTTTGAAAATATTGCCTATATATTCCAATGTTAAATTTTGATTGCCCATAATGTTGGCCCACCCTACTCCGGCGGGGTCCTGATTTGAAAAATTTGAATCAACATTACCTGAGGACGCTTCCATATAAATATAACTAATCATGCCTTTGCTGTTCCTGAGATGTTTTCCTCAAATAAATTCCTATGTAAAAATGTGATTGCCCCTTATGGCCCCTCCCCACACCTGGGGGTCATGATTTGCACAAATTTGAATCTACACAACCTGAGAATGCTTCCGTATAAATATGACAAATCATGGCATTGCTGCTCTTGAGAAAAAGATTTTGAATGATTTATACAATGTATTCCCATGTAAAACTTTGACCACCTATTGTTTCCCCTCCCCACCTCTTTGGGTCATGATTTGAACAAACTTGAATTTAAATACCTGAGGATGTTTCCAAATAAATATGACTAATCACGACTTTGCTGTTCTTGAGAAGAAGATATCTAAAGATTTTTCCTATGTATACCTGTAAAACTTTGATTGTGACCCCTCCCTACCCCTGGGGGTCATGATTTCAAGAAACTTGAATCTACACTACTGAGGATGTTTCCATATAAATATGACAAAGCAGAGCTTTGCTGTTCTTGAGAAGATCTTTCCTTTATAATCCTATGTAAAACATTCTTCGCCAATTTTGACCCCACCCTAGCCCCGGGTTCATGTTTTGAGCAAACTTGAATCTACACTATGTCAGGAAGCTTTCACATAAGCTTAATCTTTTCTGGCCCAGTGTTCTTGAGAAGAAGATTTCTAAATGACTTCACAAAATTTTTACATTTTATTATTTATCTCCAATTGGAAGAAGGTGTGGCCCTTCATTTGAAAAAAAAAATTGAATCCCCTTTACCGAAGGATACTCTGTGCCAAGTTTGGTTGAAATTGGTCCAGTGGTTCTTCAGGAGAAAAAGAAACTGTAAAAAGTTTACGACAACGACGCCAGACAACGGACAAATTTTGATCAGAAAAGCTCACTTGAGCCTTCAGCTCAGGTGAGCTAAAAGGGGGGTGCTCACGGTAATTATAATCAAATCACCCCCCCCCCTTTCCCATCTGCAGACCTGTAGCGTTATGGTTTTATATTTTAGTCTTTGATCATAACAGCTTTATGGTCGAAGACTAAATATATAAAGCCATAACGCTACAGTTCTGCACCTCCCCCCCTTTAAATTTGAAAAAAGGACTGAATAATTGAATTCAGTTCAATTTCATACCTTGTATGATAATCATGTTTATTTCAGCATCTTTAAAAATTTTATTAGAAAAGAGCGTTCATACATAGTTTTCCACAATTTTGCAATTCAGCAAATAAATGCACACAAATCATCTCAGCATTGGTCCCTTATATCAAAGAATCAAACATTTCATTTTGACTGAAAATATTATAACAATAAGAGGACTAGCTTACCTTAAAATTATATTTTAAATAATTATTTTTAAAATACAAATAACTGTAATTTTATCACAGCAGTTGTATAAGAGAAAATGATTTATTTCCAATAAGGAATAATAACAGAAGGTGATATAACATGTTCCCTACACGTGTGCGATAATTAACACCGGGTAGAACGCTACACTTGTGGGATAATTAACACCGGGTAGAACGCTACATGTGTGGGATAATTAACACCGGGTAGAACGCTACACTTGTGGGATATATAACACCAGGTAGAACGCTTCGTAATGTACATGCAATATGGCAACGTGGATAAATATGAAATAATTCATTTAGCTCATTTCTGAAAGAATTTTTTAATAAAATATACAGTTTCATGTATATTCCAAAAAATGCGGAAACATGTTTGAACCATGTCACTTATAAAAAAAATTCCGAGTCCGTCTTAGGTTAATCAGACCTGTCATAGGAAAGATAACTCTGGCTGGATTTAATGACATTGCCAAGTCTGTCAAAGTTTCGGGCTGGGAATGCTGAAATTGGTTAGATATCAATTATAACGGAATCAATCGGTATCCGTCACATTCAATTTCGCTGCCTTGTTTTCACTAGGAATGATTTCTCTTCATTGTAACAAGTCAACAACAAATTCTTAAAATACCAAAAATAGATGTACCGGTAGATATAAATAAATTTTTGCTTTGTAAGAATGTTGCATATCAAGAGTACTTATGGCTAATAATTATTCTCTTCATAAATTTTGATTTTAAAACCAATAGTCGGTAACCAGGATTCGGAGGGAAAAACAAGGAATCTGATCAGCGACTACGGAGTTTCATAAAAGCTACTCGGCTCCCTGGTCATTCTCTTCATCAGACACCTCTGGTATATTGTCGACACTGGGACGGTACTCCGACAGGACCGAGGACGCCTCGTCGTCATCCAAAACCAGACTATCGACTGTCGATCCGGAACTCCGGTGGGGCAGGCTAGGAACAATCACGCGCTTCTTACCGCTGGACTGACGGGACTCCGGGTGGACGCACGTGCTGGGACTGTGACCTAAAGAAAACATAGTTCACACTGTAAGTGCACGTACTGGCATAAATTTTCGCCGAGGCGACAAAACATGTGGATAATAACGGAATATATTGTTGCCAGAAAATAGGTACTATGCATGTATTTCTTAATTGATCAGCAAACGGAGTAGTGCCTTATCTAAATGCTCATCCTTAAAAATGTAATGCTATATGATCATTTCACATTAAAATAGGATATTGTAATGGAAAACCAGAATCGTAACTGTCTCTGGACTTCACCTATACTATTTACGGCATACTTTATGGTCAGTGATATAACATATACATATACTAAATTATTAAAGATATTAAATTTACAAAGTAAATAATTAGATCTTTAAGGAAAAATCTGAGAGATTAATTTGAAGCAATGTCTTCCTGTACGGACTCCTTCTATTGAAGATTCCTAGTGATGTTCGGAATACTCACTCTCTTCTTGTGCAGGTATGTCATTTCTCTCATATAGAACAGCTCCATGGCCTTAAACATTAAAGAAATTAAATTAGCATTATTTTCATAATTCATTGGCTGATTGATCTCAAAAATATACGACAAAATTAAATCATTTCAATAATTAGTCCCTTACCAACTCTGTAATGCCCTTGTCCATTATACTCGGCATAAGGATTAGCGTACCCGTAACCTCTTGGACTCCTTCCACCCCTACCTCTATATCCTGTGTTTTGATACTCGGCACCTCTTGGTTCGTGCCCTGTCTGACGATGGGTACAGTCCGGCGCGCTACAGCTATGGCGACTCTGTGACTTCCGCCCTTTCCTTGCTTCCGGTGGTCGTACGGTGGTAGCCAGAGCCATAGAATTGCACTTGTAGCACTTGCTGGTTGTGACATTTTTCTGACCATACCCACTTGAAATTACAAAAAAAAGTTTTTGGATGATCTGATTAAGTTACAATATAATTTGACACATTTTTTGGCACTCGTATAATATATACTTTCATAAAAGTCGACATCTAAGTAAATCTTTAGATTGCTAGTGTTGAATTCCTCTGAATTAAAAAAATCGGGAGGGGTATATTTTACCTGAATTCGTTCCCACAAGAACAGGTGAAGCCAGCCCATCCATATTCCTCGTCTTCTGGTACTGGGTCAAACTTTCGCAGACATTTGTTACACTTAGAGACCTGACATTATGGAAAGGTAATGTTAATTTTTTTACCTGCTGAAAAGTAATTTTGTGTCAGGAAATGTGACAGGTTACGTAATTCATTATTTATTTGAAGTGTAAGATGAACTGACGAATCTTAGAACAGTATCCCATTTAGTTCTTACAGAATCTTTCGCGAAACTGCAACATGCATGCATTATACTTCTCCATGAACTGATGACCTTTCATTAGGTATATATATTTCAATTATTTGATATTAAGTATTTGATGTTTACTGGTTAACTTAACCCCCTAAATAACGGACGTTTTGACTTTTCAGTAAGCTTATTTATCAGTGAGGAAAGGACGCATTCGTTATAACAAAAGATTTGACCTATAGGAGAGAACAATTTTCCGGGAAAAGTCACATTTAAAAATCAATGTTCTTTAGTTGTTTTCTATCGTATATTTGTCTAAATTTTTCAAATTTGCATTTTGAACCTAAATTTATTTATTTGCAACTTTGAAATTAACCTCCAAAGTTGATCAAAACAGTATTTTGTCCGTTAAAGCACTAATTTTTGCGTGAATTTTGGCATAGAAGTCCTTCAGGGCAGGCCTGTCCCTAAATTAAATTATGAAATTTTGATAGATTTTGATCTAAGGAATAATTTAAAACAAGATTTTTTTAGGAGCACCCCTGCCCTAGGGTCGAAATTCGTAAAAAAAAAAACTACAAAAAATGCGAAAACATATTTCTATCATACTGGTTTATATCTATGACGTATGTCTTCATAGACAGTATAGCTCAGAAAGATAGACCGCAGACTCTCAACAAGCAAGAACATTTTTAGTGTCCTGGTTCGAATCCACCTGTTGGCATACCTTTATTTTTTCAAATTTTCACCTGTAAAAACACGAATTTATTTTTTTTTTATACAGGCTTTTCCATTTTTCTTCTATTTTCTTCATTAAATGAATGAATGCTGTTGATATAAGACATCTATGGAAATGCAGATCATAAAATCTCTTTAACTGAACGCAATCAACCGGAACTATACCTCACTTTGTTCGAGGACACGAATCATTCACTTTGTGTTACTCGATACTGCAGGTGTCACGAAAAAAATCATGCCGAGCAAAAATTGCTGCGTTTGTCTTTCAAGAAAATCTCTGGGTAATAGTACTGTTGTGCCAGTGGGAGAGATACTGCGCTATGCAGATACATGTAAGATGCAGTTCATTCCTCGGGAAAATTGTGTGCATTGGCGACATGTTATGCCAAATATGCGGGAGGGAGGTTTACAGATAAGAAAAGAATGTGGTAAGGTCAGTTAAGGTTTTATGTCCCGTTGCCATTACCCAGGCATCAAGTAAGGACACAGGGTTCGACACTAACTTTTTAAGGATTAAGTCCGGCCGGACTAGTGCTTCTTTACTTTTACTAGTCCGCACGCGATTTTATGAGTCCGTCAAAAAAGAAAAAGAAACATCAATGTTTTTAAACATTAATTTAAATTGACAATTAATAGACGTTTTATACTTTTTTTTGAAAAAAAACAAAGCATTTACGTGAAATACATTATTCCACAGATTCGTTGAAATCTCGCAATCAGCAAGTACGATCGTATTCCCGATCTCGTTTTTTTTAGTCTTTACATTACATCCAAAACGTACAACATCTTTCTTTAAAGTGTCATACTAAATCATGATCGCTAAAAACATTTTACTTCATATCGATCATGACTCAGAACTGCGTAACTACCCGCCAAAAGCTAAAAATCTAAAAATACACGGAGATTTTCCAGTAAACGTTGTCGAGAATGGGACATCGGTAATTTATTCATATTGTTTTCCAGAAATTTTTATTGGTCCGCTCGGACTAATTAGCCACAGATTTTACTAGTCTGAATGAAAATGTATTAGTCTGAGACTAACGGACTAACGTTAGTGTCGAACCCTGAAGGACCCTCATACAAAGGATGTATCTGTAAATACCGAGGTAAGATCATATGAACACACAGTTGACTACAACTAAAGCGATACATGAGAAACAAGAAACTACACACATGTGGCCTAAAGTCAGCAACCGGAACGGATATCGATAAGCTTTTTCTACAGACTGAAACCAATATCGGCCCTATAGGTCAACACATATATACACCTAGAAGTGATCCTTTGACTTATGAGTGATATTCATCCTGTGACTAGACAATTACTCGAAACCTTGCAAGTTAGGCAGTAATATATACCTCTACTAGTTAATCCCTAGTGATGAAAGATTACCGGTTATCTATACGATTAATTGTCGGTTAACTGGTCCTTTACTGGTTAAACCTTACATTAAATGATAGATGTTTACAGGTCATCTAGACGATTGCCGGTTAACTGGTCCTTTACTTGTTAATTTATACATGTTGGTTACCTTTAGTTAAGCAACTCTAAGGTAAAGAAGTTGTTCCCTATAAACCATCAATTTAGCCGATAACTCAGTCTTACTGGTTTACGCTTCGGAACCCTCTTCCACCACACGTTGTCACAAGCTTCACACGCGAACTGTCGCTTCTTGCTGGGAATTTTATCCTTCTCTGCGTTCAGGCGGAGTAACTCGCTTTTTTGAAGACCAACAATGTCATTCTGAAATAGTTCAAAGCAGGGAATTTTTCAAACTAACGTATAAACAAGTAAAAGTATTTCTATCAATTAATTTTGATTATCATTTACCTATTAAAAATCTTCTTTTTTCACCAAACTTTTTCAATAAAAGTGCTTAGAAAACAGGAGTACTATAACAGCATTATTTACAAAACAAAGAAAAAAATAGTTTAAAAAAATAATTTATAAGTATTTGGTACCTCTGATTTTCCGGTGATTAACTGGGTAACTATTGCAGGCTCATCTGAAAAAAAGAAAAAAAGAAGAAATAATAGCAGCAGATGATTAAAAAAAATGAAGAAAATAGGAATACACAAATTTTATGAAAACTTTATACTGTCTAAAACGCACTCACTGCTGAAAATAAAATCTACTGTTTCCGGTTGGTTCCAGTTATGGTTGTCAAGGAGACGTCTAACTTCCTCTCTGTTAAATCGTCCGTGAAACAACTCACGGACCCGTGTAATCTGAATTATGTTTAAAAAAAAAAAAAGGCTATATCTGTATGGAAAAAAAATGCCCTTTTACAACAGGACAATTCGTTGAACACGGTCACAAAATAAATAGATGACAGCCACTATTGATTTTTTTTCCTTATTCATTTTTGTTTCATTATTTTCTATTTGGGACATACATCAGGGAAGAAAATAAGGAAGCTTGTTTGTAAGTAAAAAAATTCAACATGTTCAAGTGAATATAGAATCAAGAAATGAAGCGGATATGCTCCAATCTCTTTAAAAAGGTCTTGACAATTCATACAAGTATACGTACCATCTCTAATTTATCATCGTCCCCCATGATTAAACATGTATGCCACTAGCTATTAAACGAAAAACATCGATGTTCCATTTCTAAAAAAAAAAAGCTGTTCCTTGAAAAAAAGCTACTTTCATTTTCGATATACGGATTGGAAGAAAGACAACTGTCATATTTATTTTTGTAAATAACATATAATTGCGGCGTGGATCAAACAAAAAAAAAACATTTCCTAATTCCTATGTCCTTCTTGTCTTTAATTGGTGATTACTCAATTATTGCCTTACAATGAATGTTTGAATAAATTAAATCTAAAGCGTAATAAATAAAAATTTAATGCATTTCAACAAAGATTCTTACTGAATTTCTCTTAAAGGTGCTTGGACACAGATTTGAAGTTAACATTTTCTCAAATTTTCTGCATAATTTCATGACTTATTTGTTGCTATAGCATTTCATACTAAAATATAATAAAAATCTTATTTCATCTCGAAGTTATTGAAACTTCAAATTTATGGACGCGTTTGATTGACACATCCTTGCACTTTCACAAATTTTAATTCTATTCTTAATACTTAAAAAAGTGGCAATTTTGTTGTGTATTAATGAAAAATATTAAAACTATAATCCAGAAAAATTCAGAGTAGAAATGTTCGAAAGCAAAATCCACTCACAGTATTGTCAGTCCGTGCTCAGTGGTGTGTGCAGACTTTAACAATTGAACACACCCGGTGAATCGTAAAGATTAACAATAACAGAGCTCGTGCCCTGTTTACAAAAACAGTTTATGTTTCACGGGTGTATTCAATTTGTTAAACTCTGTACACAACACTGAGCACGGGCTTTCGATATTAGTGAGGGGGTTTGCTTTCGCACATTTCTACTCTGAATTTTCTGGATTATAGATGTAATGTTTTTCATTAATACACAAAAAATAGCTTCTTTTCTTAAATATTAAGGATAAAGAGAAAATTTGTGAAAATGCAAGGATGTGTTAATCAAACGCGTCCAGGAATTCGTAGTTCCAATAATTTCCAGATAAAATAAGTTTTTAATTATATTTTCGTGTGAAATGCTATTGCAATATATAAATCGTGATATTATACAGAAAATTTGATAAAATATTAACTTCAAATCTGTGTCTAAGCACCTTTAAAAAACTTTAACTTTTTATCTTAGTTAATATTACATACCTGTAATTAAATAGAACGTAGATCGAGGTCACCTCAGTTAGATTCTAGATAACTCTAACAAGGTAGATCGGTGTCAATCATATAAATTTATCTGTTATGTAATCTTAATTTTAATTTATCTACATTATCATAGTAAGGAAAAGCACTAGTGATATACTGCCGCATATTTGTACATGTATGAAGGCGCAATCTTCATAAATCGATCAAGGGCACATTCAAAGAATCCTTGTAAGATTTTAAATATAAATTGAAAGGAATTATTATATTCGAAAAGTGTTCTCTAGCCTAGTGAAATCTTTCAAATGAATTATTAAATTTCTATTTGTATGGCAGCTGACGGAGGGAAAATAAGCACGAAATCTTAAAAAGATGATTTTAACCATTGCTAGATCAGCCACATCACTCGAACAATCTAAATATACAATTTAATCGTCTTGCAAAAACTGTATTTTTATCACAAAAAAGTACCAGTATATCCGTGATCCCTAACTGTCGCTCTGCTCTGCAGGCGACACAAAAAAGAAGTACGAGTATTTCCGTGATCCCTAAGTGCATCTTAGCTTTGCTCTGATGGCGACACATTTCCATTGTGCATCTTAACTAAATTTTACTATAAAGTAAATAACTGGTCTATAGTTTTTGTATCGGTATAATAAAACAGCTAATTATAATAACGTCATCTCGGGAAATAGAATTAGAGTCCTGCCGACCCCTTCAATGATATATGCCCCCACGTACCGCTTTCTCTGTGACGTGAGCGGGCGGGTGTACACGAGTATGTCTAGGTATGCCACTACTCTACACATCATTTCTGGAAAAAAAATATCGATATACATGTTGAGTGCCGAAAGAACAAGGTACGATAAACACCAAAACTGCCCCTTTTCAAATTTGTTCTCGATTTTTGAAGATATGTCTACTGTGTGCCTTTTAAATTCATTTTATTTTAGAAATTATTTCTAACGTTTTTTTCCCTTAAGAGTTATATGAAATAGAATGTTTTCTTTAGAGGAAAGAAAAATAAAACCCACTGACTGCATGACTTACATTCCCAATTTTGAAAATAATTTACTAAAAATGAGTTTGTAAATCAGTTCTCTTTTAACTGGTAAGATAAACGATCTCTTGAATTAAGAAAAAATGTAACTACATACATGTAGTTCACAAAAAAGCAAGTAATTGATGCAATTATTATATACACCCCCACCCCCATTCACAGGATCAGCTATTTTACCATCAGCAATAATATTTTGGAATCTTAGCGAAACTTATATTTATTGTATACCCATCAAACAGAATCAATATGACTTGTTCAGCTGGAGTAAATCCCAAAGCTACAGCCGGACAATTAAAGTTTATCGTGAAATTCAATATTAAAGCTCACTGTCAGGAGGATTAATACATGTATATTCCTAATCAATATAACTATATTTGAATTGCTACTGTTTGACACTTTGAAGTTTAATCTAATTTTTCACACTTCATTCTTGTCCGTAAAACAGCAACCTCACTACCGGTTCTTGGAAATGGCTTTTCTCCTGCACTTAAGTAGAAGCTAATGTACTTCCGGCCATATGTAAAGATATCGCAATCGATGCGTTACACTAGTTATTTCTAAGAGCTTGAGGAAATTCCATCGAGTGACTCTGTGTTGAAATGGCTTAATTGACAATAATTTATTTATCATTCATCTCAGAGAAAATTATTACACAAGCAATACAAAGGACTAAACAAACTATTAATACAATGAGGTTGTGTTAGCATGTAATTGTTCCACAATGTCTTTAGAAAAAAAATACATTAAATTATATCGGACTTGATCACGTTGTTCTCGAATTAAGGACAATGAAAAATATTGTGTCAATTTGTTCCTGTGAATGATATTTGTACGTGTGTTTACGAATATGAAGCACTATTCTACATGGTATATTATCATCAATGTAATCTGCACTGTCATTGGACTTACCACAGTTTTCTGCAATACTATGGCTGCCATCTTGATATTAAAGAAGAAACGTCATTGGGACAATGCTTTGAATTTCATTCTTCATCTCAGCATAGCAGATAACCTAGCCGGAGTGCTCATTTTGTGGAACGTGGTTTATAACATGAACGAGCATAGGAACTTTTTTGAGTGCGTGTTTCGTAGTTCTGGGATATGTGGCGTCATCTTTACGTCATGTCACGTGCTATTAGGACTCAGCTTAGATCGCTACATTAAAATCGTAGCGCCATTCCACTCCATCAGGATAGAGAATGGGAAACTTGTGAAGTTCTACCTTAGTGTTTTGTGGATATTATTTTTCTTTTGTCTGGGCGTCCCGCCCATGACATGGATACACGAGCCCATACCGTACAATGAATGTACATTTTTCGGAGTATTAAATAGAGAATATCTCTTGACCTTGTGTACATTTATGACCTTTGCCCTTTTATGTCAGTGCCTGATGTATGGACATGTAACTTTCATAGCTTTATCTAAGGGTAATTTGCATTTGCAACCACAAGGGAAGAGAGACACTAATGGTCGATATATAGGGAAGGCCCTGCCGTCCTCCAATAGACAAGTTTTAAAGACAACTAAAGCTGTTTTGCTTGTATGTGGGTTAAACTTTATCACGAGTTTACCAGTTGGTAAGTTTAATTATCAAACAGTAAAATTGACTATAAAGAAGAATACTCGTCTTAAAAACAAGGTTATGAAAATTTAAATTTATTTTTTTGGCAATCATGATTATGAAGAACTTGGAAGTGTAAAGCTATAATAACAAGATGTGTTTGTGAAAAAACTGATGCCCCCGTATCAACTTATAGCGAAGGTTAAACTTTCTCAAATGCAAATCAAATATGTTGGTACCCAAAGTAATGTACATGTACCTGTGGAATAGGAAAGCCCCAGTAGCAACCATTGAAAAGATATGGAGAAGTTTTTCAAAAGTAAGTCAAACATCAAGGTCAAATGGTCAAAATTAAGGGTGCCCAAGAAAAGGTCTTCTCACAAGAAATATACATGTGAAATATGAAAGCCCTAGCCAAGGTTAAAGTTTTTTCAAAAGTAGGTTAAACTCTAAGGTCAAGGTAAAAAGGTCAAAGTTGTTGGTATCCATAGGAAGGTCTTGTATTACATATGTGAAGTATGAAAGCCCTAGCACCTACAGTTCAAAAGTTATGGCCAAGGTTAAACTTATTTAAAAGTAGGTCAAACTTATATGTCAAGGTCAAAGGGTCGAAGTTATTAGTATCCAAAGGAAGGTCTTGTTACAAGAATCACACATGTGAGGCATGAAAGCCCTAGCACCAATTGTTCAAAATTTATGGCCAAGGTTAAAGTTGGGAAAAATGTTGCAAAACTGGGTTAAACTCCAAGGTCAAGTTCAAAAGGTCAAATATGATGGTACCCAAAGAAAAGACTTGACACAAGGAATACACAAGTGAAATATGAGAGCAATAGCTCCAACCAATCAAAAGTTATGTGCAATGTTAAAGTTTTTCCGGACAAACAGAAAAACGACAGACAGACAGACGGACAGGGCAAAACTATATACCCCCCGAATCTTCGATTACGGGGGCATTAAAACGTGAAAAGTTATGCCTATTACCAAGTTGTTATAGTTTTTTTTTGGTTGTAGGGAAACTAGCTCAAAATTCACAGTGTCAAGGAATATTTTCTCAAAATTATATTTTTAATACATAATTATATATTGAAAATATGCATGTATAATACGTATTTTACAAGTACCAATTATATGTAACACAATGACATATTACTGGCTGTCAGGTTTGATAGACATACAGACTGGTGAAAGCTGCCTTATCCGACACCTGTGCAATCCGTTTCACTGAAAACTCCACTTTTATTTTCATTCCCAATTTATTATTTTCCAGGTTTTTCTGCACTGTGTAATCGACACCTTGTCTATTCCGAC